TTGGGTTCAAGGGCGGTTTGGAAGACAATGGTGAAGTAGACAAGGGTGCAGGAATCGTAGTGACAGGTACAAAAGACGAATCATCTCTCTTCGATATGTGCGCAAATTCCTCGGTATTATCAACGGGTTCGACTGCGCTGTAACCCCGTATCAAGGGAAACGATCCTTGCAATGGTCGCAACAACGATGTGAACCTGAATGCTGAAGATGATTTGTGCGTGTGGTCAGGTTCGGGTAGGCTTTGCGTACGATCGGAAGGAGAAGAAAGTGGTGGAGAGACATGTGGACGAGCGGGAGTTGTATCAATAACTGGAGGGGGGAATGAGCCTCCAGGGGTACTGCGGTATGCTCGAACTGCGTCACGAATCTGCTCAAGTGCCGCAGGAAGGTCGTGGAAATACGCAAAAAAGTAGGAATCCAGCGAGTACAATGCGCTGTTGTCTACCACCTTCACTTCGATCGTTTCGCTGAAATCCATGGCTGAGGATTTCTCTACTTCCTTGATAGTAGAATAAGGTATGGCAATCTTATAAAGTTGTTAGTCAAGGATCGATGAGCAACTTAACGTGGATCAAAGGTCACACACTTTCACGCTATCACCTGTATTCTGTGCCCTGAACATAACCTTTCTTATGGCCTTCACCCATTCGTCGCGGCTCGGGGCTGAATCCGCAGACAACCTGATCGTTTTCTGATTTGTCCGAAGACGAATATCTCGGTCGTTTGTTGGTTCACAGGAAATCGCGTAACGCAGATCCACAACGCCATGCGGAAAGTATGGGTCCTACAAAATACGAATTGAGGAGGTTAATGAAAATACTGAGGAAAAGAACTAACCGCTGAGGACTGGTACCATGAAAGTACATCGTTCTTCAATATAAACCAATGCCTAATCCATCGTTTCGTCCTCTGAGTTCGTTTGGTTATCCATCCGGACTTCAATGTTTGATCCTATAGTGCAGCGTTAAAGGTGTCGGTATATATATTATAAGAGAAGACTGACCTCATGAGACGGCAAATGAGCGAAGAAGCATAAGTATGAATCTGTTAGATACATATAACCTTGCAATACTGTGGAGTCCATGCGCTCTGTTAACTCGAACTTATCGCACTCAATGAAATAACTTACAAACCGATCGAAGGAGCCAACATGGCATCTCTGGATTTATGGTCATTTGTCTGTCCATGATACACTTCACGCTTTCACGAACCTGCAATAACTTCGTCTATCCCCTGGACGTCGAAGATGTCCCGTAACTTCTCTGCTAGTCTTGCTCTTCGCTCTAACTTAACAGTTGCCATGCTGCCTGACCGAGTGGGTGCTTTTATGACCGATTCTCCCAAAGAGTCAATTTCTGAGAGAGGGGGCAGTGACATCGATACTCCATAATCATGACAGGCCTTCGAGTCTGGAATAGCCGGATCCATGGGTTCGAAATCTTCTTCAATTTCGTCCTCTGATAAGACAGGCTCTTCAGGTAATTGTTCGTCCTCAACGTCTGAAACGCTCGGTAACCTTGTGTGCTTACTTGCGCGCATTGCAGAGATATTATCACGCCTTGAGCGAGCCAAAGGGCGATGAATGGCATGTATAGACGAAGCCATCCGATTGACTTAGCACACAATGAATGAGTCCTTCGACATACAAGTTCCGGCCCGAAATACGCACCGGCTCTATCATCCTCATCGCTCTCAGGTTCAGTGGGCGTAAAGTCGTGGTTCATAATGTCGTCATCATTATCTTGGTCTTCCCCCCAGGGAATAGCTTGTAGTGCTTGTATTAACGTCTGAGTGCCGGCACGCATCTAACCATGTATTTTGAGAACATAGCAGTAACATGCATATAAGGGGTACTCACTGAGCCGTCGCCTCGGAATATATTAAGAACCGAACGGGTTGGACCAAAATGAGGGGAGCGCGGAGTAATAAAAGGAGAATCATCTTCTGTCTGCGGCGCAGTTGAGGAACTTTTTCGCCGTCCTGAAGATCGCACACTGGCTTCCTGGCCAACCAACTGCGAATGTGCAATGACTGTGTCGCATGAGCGACAATTGTGAGAGCGCCAAAGGAGACGCAAGTTATGTTGCTCACCATCACCGTCCGTAGAGCTCCGCTCCTTCCCTTTCCTGCTTATGCCAAATATACGCTTCGGACTTGTTGCAGGAAGAGATGGTTGGCTCTGCGAGAGCTGGGCTCTACTTCCAGGAGTTATTGTTCTGGTTAATTTCTCGGCAGTCTTCTCCATGGCGCGCTTTACGATTCCGCTTCTGGCGTCGGTCGGTCGTGCAGTCTCTGGGGGTTGTAGGGGAGAGGACGAGGTATATTTGGGAGGCCCCTCAGTCCCTGCGGCGAGCACCTTGACTGGCATGTCGTCGTCCGCCATAGCCAGAAAAAGGGATTGAGGCGGATGTGGTCTAAGATTGTAGCTGGCTCTGGTTGGGCCGCTCTCGCTGCATACGTCGATCAGACAGGCGCCCCAATCTGGTTCATTTAGCGCGTGATAAGCCACGTGGAAATTGACGGGACGCTCAAAGGGCGCGAATCAAAGCCAGAGCGTCTCTGCCTCGTGTTCATCAACATGCACATCACGGTTCTGCGGCCTCGAGGATGGCGGATGCCTCGCTTTTTACGAACCAGGCAGACTCTCGGACGACTCATTGGTCTGCACAATCTTCCGGAAGGGATAAAGCTGGCTTGAATTCTCTGCCACACTTCTACTCTCTTACCCTCCGCTGACGGTTCGACATCATGCGAGGCGAAATATGCATAGGCTCCGCTTCCTTCCTTTCGTGCGTACTCGGCAGCGTACTGTACTGTTTCACGTCCGGTAACTGACCCAAATGAAGATTGGTAGCCTTAATATTGCTGATATTCATGCATGTGCGTCGAAAGACTGATCTTATGCCTCCGCGTAGTAATCTTATCATCATCTTAGGTTGGTCAAATCAACACTTCCACTGTCCCTCGAAATATCGCTATGGTGAGCTTTCACGATCGGTGCCAAATTCGGCTGTTACATCAATCAACGTATAGATGCGAGTGAACACCACGGGTTACGGGTGAGTATACTCCGTTACTGTACTCCCGCACTGTCGACCCTCAGGCTAACCCGACCTAGTGAAGCCCTTGTAGCTGCAATCGCACCGGATCCCGTTAACGGCCTCTACACCGATAACTCTTCTGCTCCTCTCAAGCAGCAAGCCGGTCTACGGAATTTCTATGACTTCGGCCTCTATTCTTACTGCGCTTATGTGAACGACACTCACGGTACATGCTCTTCTCACGTTACTGCCATGAAACTCGCACCGTACGACGACATATTAGGCGACATGGCAACAAACTACTCCACCATAACACTTGCACTGGTCCCATCAAGTACCTTTGTGGATTCGCAATACCTTGGCGAATTCTCCAGAGGAGCGTATTACTTACTGCTCCTGGGAACCATTGCCGCGGCACTAGCATTTTTCATGTTCGTATTTGCACTTTGCTGCAGCTCATCACTGCTCTTACGAAATACCCTTCAATCTCCCACAGCGGATTTATCAAACACACTGTGGGCTATCTGGCATCCACGGTGTTCGCAATCATCGGAAGCGTACTGCTACTTATTGGGGCCGTCATCTGGACAGTCATCATCAAGAAAGCTCAGGCGATCAATGGCGTTGTAGTCTCCCTGCCATCAGGACTAGTGCCCCTGGATATCACGGTGGAGGTCGGCAATGCGCTTTTCCTTGCATGGGCCGCGTTCGCGTGTCTCATTGTATCTATTATGCCATACATGATCAGGTATGTATCATGGCTGGATGTATCAATGAATGTTGCTGATAGCATGTTTATAATTGTCCTAGTTGCTGTACATACCGTGGATAGATATATGTGTCTCTCGATGCCGGTCATCATGCAACCTTTCATTTTCTCGCCTCACTCATGGCGTGCCAACAAGAGCAGTCGGGTGGAACTTGGAAGTGTATTGATGTATTACTATCCTCAATGTGAATGGACTACGCTCCGCGGTGTCCTCTTTGTGATGCGAGAACCGCATCACTGTACATCGGTTAGCTAAGTTGACCCTGACGTGTGGCATAGTAGAAGACCTTACGAACAGTGATGCAATCCTCGCGTTCAAGTTTTGCCTATGGAATCAATCATGACCACTCTGACTATCTGGTAAGTAGGCAGACTGAGCAGTAAGTACTGAAAGGCTCAAAATTTCTCTGCATCAAATTAAGCTCCAACCCCAAACATTAGGTATGCCGCGAGAAAACTCTTCCGCATCTGTAAACATACCATTTACTCTTTACAAACAGTTTATGACTCTTTCTCTTTACGTACACCTTTGGTGCGAATGTAAAGTAAAGGGTTGGAGTCATACTAGTTTCGTTGCTGACCATATAGAAAAGATGACATTAATGTTGGATACAATAAGGCTCCCAACCCTTTACGTTTACCTTTATTTACGAAGGATGTGTAATTTGATGTAAACTGTTTATAAAGAGTAAATAAAGAGTTTTTACAGGGTATCACAAAACATGCCCTGCATGTCGGAATATGCACTAACAGCAATATATATAGCTTAGCATCAGCTTGATACTGCGACTAATATTGTATGTGACTCGAGGCGTACTCATTGCTGAGACAGATTGGCTGTCAGCCTGACACGGGCGCTTATAAATGCAATGGGCCGCTTGGCGCTCGCACAATCGCAACCGCTCTCTTCCTCTAAAGTTGAGGGAGATTTTGCGAATTCAGTGCGAAAAATCCAAAATAACATTAGAAGATACAATGAGAAAAATCTTCTGTGCTCTCCCGATCAAAAATACCATATATCAGTTGTAAACTTACTCTTTACTCTTTATAAACTGTTTACAACCCTTTCTCTTTTTTACGGCACCAGTGTAAAGGTAAATTGGAGCCTTAGGATACAATATAATTTCTGACCTACTATGCTAAGGCTTAAGCGCCAGCTGATTGAGATCCCTCAAAAAAGTTCCACAATTAGCCCACCGCGAGGGTCGAACTCGCAGCCTTCAGATGACACGGATATTTGGCCCGCACTCCTAAGAGTCTGACGCTCTATCCGATTGAGCTAGGCAGGCGACACAATGGATTCAGTTTAAAGGGGTATGTGCAGTCTGAGGTTATTAATACACGGGGATAGAATGCCTTGTTCTGGCGATTTTCGAGGTGATTGCCTTCTTGTTGTCGTCGAGTCCCAGGCCGCTGCGCAGCTCACTCACGGTCCCTTCATTCATTGTATCCAGCCCTTCTCTTAACCTTCACTTATTCCCTCACTTCGTGAGCAACGCCAACATGCGCTCTGCAGCCCGTGTTGTAGCAACACTCGCCACCGCTGGACTCCTGGCAACAGGCGTAGGTGCCATCTCGAACGTCACTCGATCTGGAAGATACCTTTACAACGCCGACGGTACCAGATTCTTCATCAAGGGGATTGCGTATCAGACTCAGGGTATGTTCAAATGGCTGTGGCCGAATGTTGCAGCTGACGGAAGTCCTACCCAGGCGACGTCTCAACTGACCCGAACAACCCTTTCCTTGAACCCTCTACATTTGTCGACTCTCTCGCCGACGGTGCTGGGTGTACAAGAGATCTTCCTTTCCTCCAACAACTTGGAGTGAACGCCATCCGAGCGTATAGTGTCGACGCTTCGCTCAACCATGACTCCTGTATGAACACTTTCAGTCAAGCTGGAATCTACACTATGTGGGCTTTTTCTCTCTCAGCTCGGTGGAGTAAAATTAATCTGCTATTAATAGCATCGATTTGTCACTGCCGGTGAATGGTTCGATTGACCGTGCATCGCCAGCATGGTCAACAAACCTACTGGACCTGTACCTTGAGACGATTAATGCCTTCTCCAAGTATGACAATGTGTTGGCCTACAACGTGGGCAATGAGGTCGTTATCGCAGCTAACGGTACTGCCGCTGCGGCGTTCATCAAAGCTGCTGCTCGCGATACTAAGTCATACCTGTCAGTAAACCACCTTACGGTGCTGGTGCCAACTCACTAACTGGATTTTCCAGGACTTCGATTGGCTCGTCCGCTTTGGTTGGATACGCAGCCATCGACGCCGATGACAGTTGGCTTGTACCTTTTGCCAACTACCTGAGCTGTGATACAACTGGGCAGAACTCTGGTGCGACCGCACTTGACTTGTTCGGCTTGAACAACTAGTAAGCTTCCTTGACTTTCTTTTCAACTTGCCTGTCTCTAATGAGTGTTTCTAGCGAATGGTGCGGTGACGCACAGCCAAGTGCCTACGCTGACAAGAACGGTGCCTTTGCTGGCTACAACATCCCTGCGTACTTCAGCGAGTTTGGTTGCATAACTTCCCCACCTCGTCTTTGGACCGAAGTCGCTACTATGTTTGCTAGCCCCATGACTGATATCTGGTCCGGAGGTCTCGCTTTTAGCTACTTCCCTGCGACAAGCAGCCAGGGTCAATTCGGCATGGTCACCATCTCTTCCGACAATACCACTGTGACTACAAGCGATGACTTCACTCGCCTCCAGGCTGAGTACGGCAACGTGACCTTTGTCAACAGCCCTAGCGCGCCTGGTTCTACAACCTTCCCAAGTTGCCCTACCGCCAACTCTACTTTCTTGGCCTCCCAGTCTCTTCCGCCTACTCCCAATGATAACTCATGCAACTGTCTTGAATCTTCTCTCGCCTGCCAGTTCACTCCCACAACTTCAAACACCAGCGCTATCGTAGGCCCACTTCTCGACACCGCATGTGGTCTACTTGGACAGGTCAACGGTAACTGCGATGCTATCGCTGCTGACGGTGCTGCCGGAACTTACGGCCCTGTGTCCTTCTGTAATCCATGTATGTCTCTTATCCTTCTCTCTTATCATCTGCTAACTGTTTGGACCTTCACGCTTCTTACAGCGATCAAACTTTCCTATGTCATGGACCAATACTACGAGGCCACTAACCGCGTTGCTACCTCTTGCAGTTTCGGGGGTAACGCCACTATCAATAGCCAAGCTCCTTCTGCCGCCTCTGCGAGCGCTGCAGCCAGTTCTTGCTTGTCAAACCCAGATGCGACCTTCGTCCCTAGCCCACCTGCTACCCTCAGTGGCTCTTCGCCCACGGGCTCCAGTTCGGGTTCGGGTTCGAGTGGCAACAAGGACAATGGTGCGTCGACTTTGAGCAACAAGGAAGCTATGATGGGGATGGTGCTTGCGACGGTGTTCAGCGTGGCTGGTGGGCTGTTTGTATTAGCATGAACGTAGTTCTATCTATCATCTACTCTACTTTTCGGTTCGGATCTTACCACTATTGTTCCTGATCTTGGATATCATTCCAACACAACCTGCATTAACTTGTAGCAATCCCCCGGACTTTCGCCATATCGTACTACGGACTTTCATACCTTTCTATTTTATGATATAAAATCAAAACTCTGCTTTAATTCAATTCTCTACAAGAAATGTGCTCATCAACCTACACGATATTTAACTACCGCACAGCGGAAACAAAAGGTGTGTATAAAACAATGAGAAAAGGTTCGTACAACAAGCTGGTAAAGTATGTCCATTTGCATAATGGAATATAGGTGGGTAATATAATTGGAGATAAGACAGTGTCCTTGCATAACTGCACGACAATAGCTGTTGCGCTTTTGACAAGTGTCATATAAAGGCATTATAAAATAATGGAGATGCCGGCAACGAAGCCGAAGATCGCTGTTCCGACTGCGAGAATGATGCTTGAGTTGTTGATACCGACAGCGATGGCACCGTTGTTCTTTGTACTTGATCCGTTGTTGCTTGCACTGCCGGTAGCCTCGGAAGATCCTGGCGCACCGGACGTGAATGTACCAGGGGCAGCATCTACGGGGCAGAAAGCATCAAAATTTATTACACGACACTCAAAAAAAACGTACTGGTTCCAGAGGGTAGAGGGTTGCTCGAGTTATCGTTGGTTTCGAGATACGCGTCGCTCAATGGCTTGTTCAAGCACGAAATGACGGGCTTAATGTTAAACGAGGGCTTGTTTGCAAGAGCGGCTGGAAGAATGTAGCCAGTTGCGATATCCACAGTCTGAGCAAAAAGATCATGCTCGAGCACAATGAAACCAGTGTCAATCTGGGTAGCATTTCCGATAATTTCCTCCCAGTTCTGGAGCACCTGAGTGACGGTAATTGTTCCCCCGGCGACATTGTAGTCTAAAAGGCCATCAGATACAAGCGGACATAGATGGGTATGAACACAAACCTCCAGTATCAAACGTAGCCAATGGGCTGATGCGAGTCCACATGACGGGAATCAAGTCCATTGCCTTGGCAATCGCACGAACACGATCGTCGATGTCTCCGTAAGGAGGACGGAAGTAGATTGGAGTGACGCCAGTGACATCCTTGATAATCTTCTTCGACCAACCGAGCTCAGCAATGAGACCTTCAGTCGACACAGTTGTCATGTACGGGTGACTCCATGTGTGAACGGCGATCTGATGCTGCGCCATGTACTCTTCCTGGAGCAAGGCTGGGTAGGAGATGGCACGAGAACCAACAACGAAGAAGGTCGTCGTCAGGTCGTTTGCGTTGAGATATTGCAGGAGGTCGGGGGTATAAGGAGCAGGCCCATCGTCGTATGTAAGACCCCAGGTCAACTTATCCGGGCAAGTCGTGATATCTGAGTCACGAACACAACCTCCACACGACCACCAGCAACGCGTGGTATCTGCGGCAGCAGCAGGATTTGCCGGGCATCCTCCTAAAACAGTAACGGGGATGTCGGGAATTGTGATCCCGGACGCGTTAACCTCTGCGATCCATTGCAGAACCTCCGGAGAGTCCGTGGGAGGGAGCACATCCAGTTTCGGGTAGTTGGTAGGTATAACGGTTGCGACTAACATAAAAACAAGATGTTAACTGTCAATCAATCAATTTTAAAACAGACGCCGACATACGATTGGGAAGAGGGGGTGCATTAGGAAGGTAGCTAGGGTTGGCTCCCGCTGCATATGTGGTCGTGAGGGGAAGGGTAGCCTGAGTGGTTAAAGTGCCTGCCACGATGTCTGATAAAGAAACCGCGGTGGGGTTGATAGAAGCAAGAGAAAAGGACACCGACGAAACGGCTGGTGGAACGGATCCAGTCACAGGTGCAGAACCAACTGCGGAGCCAGTGGCAGCGGGTGGTGGCGCAGACCCAACGGAAGAGCCAGGCAAGGGAGCGGAGGATGTAGGAGGCGGGGCTTGACGAGCGACGTTATCATGCCTGGCAGCATTGTGGTTGGCAGACACCAGGGCCGGGAGCGCGATGGCTGATAGCAACGCAAACTTCATGTTGAGTAAGGACCGTTGAAGTACGAGACGGGGGGCGGACGATGTGGGGATCCTCGGCGTCGAGGGAAACGGCGAGAGAAACACAAGAGGTTTTATATCCCAGCTCCAACAGAAGTTCGAGCTATGGTCCATTCGGCCTAATTGGGCCTCCGCTCGGCATCCAGCACTTTTGCAATCTTTTGGGCCACAAAAGGCAATGCAGAGCGCTCAAATGTGCAGTCACCTGCATAAGGCTGCATGCGTTTGGGATAATTATACCCACGAATCGCTGCACAGAAACTATAATTATAATCCAGCAACAAAACGACATACACCCCCAAACGTTTTCAACCCTGTGACAGGGCTGTTTTCGGAGACCCTCGAGACAATATTGCAGTAGCGCTTAGCCGGCCTGTGGGCACCACGCCGGATACTTGCTGAATTCAAATGCCGCTCCGGGATTGAGACCGAACGCCAGAGTAGCGCTGAGCAGCCGCCTGTGTCCAACACTGAATCTCAGTGTCGCCTCAGCCTCGGATTTCAGGCCGAGCACAGCATACAGATTTGGCCACACCTGAGCAAAAGTATTGGCCGGGATTCGAACTCGCGCTCAACATACCGGAACCGCCTAACATACAAGACTCTAACAACTCATCCATCTGGTCTGACATAAAGGTAGCGCGCTCAATATATATCTATCATACCGCCTTGGTACTTTATCATACTTCCCTATGTATTCAAAGAGATATTTATGTGTGGGACATGTCTCCTGGCTTTCTGGCAATGGTTGTGGTAGGCTG